GTCAGGATTCTTTGACTCGGTTTGTTTTTCAATGAAATTCACGAACTTTGCAATAAGCTCTTGGTTCGTTATTGAAAGTACATCTGGCTTCTTTTCTTCTGGTTCTATTGGTGGCTCAGTTTGAACAGAAGGTTTTATATGGGCTTCGTGGACTTCACCCTTGCCATGCACCTTAATGTTGTCGCTTTCTGCATTCGCTAATGGAACCTTTCTTTTTCTTACGTATATTTTACCATCTTTACTCTGACTTACGTAATAGAAAGGATGTTGTATTCCTCTTGCGTCATTTAATATAATAGACTCTCGCTCTGATTTTGACAAGCTCATTTTACATCGGTTAAAGTTTTAATTTTGTTTTTTATCTGCAGTCAAATGACTCAGACAAGCCCTACGGACAAGACCCAAGGGGTCATAGATGTTGAAGCATTGAAGAAAGAAATTCGTGAGCAAATTTTATCCGAACTGAAGGAACAAAAACAAGAACAAAAGCCAGAGAGACCAAAGAGAAAACTTAGTGAAAAACAACTTGCTGCATTAGCTGCTGGAAGACAAAAGAACCCACGTTTGCTGGCGAAGAAAGCTAGAGAAGAAGCTGAAGCAAAAGCTAAAGAAGCTGAAGCAAAGAAAGAGTAAATGGTTTATTTTTATCCGAATTAAATGTATAGACAAATACCTTTATCTGTTGCGTTCAGTAGTGAAAACCCTGACGTCAAAATAAAGGGGAACAGAGTAACGTTTAAGTTTCCAACAGACTGGATTGTGAACATAAATGAAGAGAAGTACATTGGCATAACAAATATGTATATAACACGTGCTTTCAGAAAGGTTGACTTTATACTTCAAGTCGAGATAGAAAATGACGAACAGTCTTTAAGCGCCCAAAACATTCACATATACAAATACTTTAAAGACGATACAACATTGACAATGTATGATTCATTTAATGAGATGTTCGAAAAAAGTTTAACATTGAAGTACAAACTTTACAGCCTTTACGTGAGTTTCTTGCACAACTGAAAGAAGAAGGTAGTCAGAAACTTATAGACTTTTCATTATGATTTAATGAAAATGAAGATGGAACACATGACTGTCAATTTGTTGTATTCTCACCATTCAATGAAGTAGCTAAAAAGAAAAAAATCCATTACGTATAAGATTTCAAATCTCTGAACCAAGTGATGATTTCAAAATGTTTTCAATTATGATGCAATGCTTCCGAGGAAAAATGATTTTTCCGAAATTAGATTTCCAGGCATTTGGGATAGAAAGCAAGCTATATTTATCAAATAGTAAGGGTTGAAAATGAGTTCATTGGTCATACAAGAACTTCACCACTTCCTAACCCTAAATACTATAAATTAACTGGCTTCAATCGTGAGTTTTGGATAGACATGTTCTCCACTCATGACCATAAAGCACCTGTTTTGCTACCTCCAGACCATAAGGACTGTCTCTACATTGAAGCACAACTCTTAAACTCTACCATCGCAGTATTGTAAATGACCACATGGGCTTCGCCCTTGCCGCTAGCGGCTTATTTTTATCACGAATGACCTCATTGCTGACAAAAATAAATGACCTCAGAACTTCAACTTACGAATAAAGCTTGTTTTAGTCGTTATTGAGAAGTTAAACTTCTCTTCAAAGCAAGGTTGACATGACTTACATAAGTCAAATCCAATCTCTTGACCGTCATAAAGTGCTTTGTAAAGTTTCATTAAACTGAACTCAGAGTCTTTGTCATATGTTCCTTGCGGAACCATTAAACCTTTATCTTCATCATAGAAACACTGAACAGAGTCAGGAAACATTTCATTAGCGGTTAAAGCAATAACATCTTGCTTCACGCCTTTCATTCTGCAGTGAAATGCAACTTCATTTAAATCATTCGTGAGTAAGTCTATGTAAGTCTTCTTTCCACAAAATATTGACTTGTATGCTAAACTTTGTTTTCCAGGTGTTATTCTGCAAAGTCGATGAAATTGACCAAGGTTTTTACCAATGAGAACTCTTCCATAACGTTTCTCAAACTCTTCAGCTAAACGAGGGATATCTTCATTGTAGAGATGCATACTGTCCGTATCGCTATAAAAGATGTCCATTCCTAAGTCCTCAGCAGTACAGAATACTTCACACATTATTCTCTTCGACATAGACAGAATGTTAACACCAAGTGGACAGAAGTTAAAGTGTCTGCAAATGCTTTTCGTTAGCTTGAAAATAGTTTTATCTGAACCATCCAAACCTTCGAACTTCACTATATGGTTGTAGTTTCTGATGGCATATCTTATAGCATCTTTGTCATTTACTATGGTTATTTTTGACTCAATAGGAGATAGAATAGTTTTGCCATAAATACTGTTCAGAATGAGCTTTATATTTTCTTGCAAAGGATTTCCTTCTTTCTTATACTTTAACCTTAACTCAAACAACTTCTTTACTTCATCTCTTATTCTAATATCTCTGTTTCCATCGTAATAGTATCCTTGCAACACTTCACATTTGACACCTTGATATTTTATGAGGTCTTGTAATGTTATATGGTCAACATACATTAAACAGCAAGTGTTTGAACTTCTGGGAACGTTAAGTTCTGGATTTAGTTCAGGGTCACAAACTATTAAAGGAAAGTGTCTATGTATTCCAATCTCTGTTATCTTAATGAGAACAAAGAAGCCAGACATAAACTTTTCACCAATGGGTTCCTTTTGGTCGTCATCGAATAAATGTCTCATGAGATACTCTGTGCTTAACATTTCTTTCTTCATAACCTTTGGAATACCTTCTAAAGTATAAAGTCTTGCTATAGCTGATGGATATAATGAAACAGCGTCGAAGTCAGCAATGAGTTTCTTTTCGCTCTTTTGTTTAATGTTATCTGACAGCATACATCTTCCACCTTGAATACAGCGTGAAATAAATTCTCTTGGTTTATTTGAGAGGTCATATAAATTTCCATTCGGGAAGTACACTCTGTTCTCAAACAATTTGTTAGCAATAGAACAAATACTAACGTAGTCATAAACGTTTAAATCAAATTCTTTCAATATGTCATTGCGGAACTTAACAAAACCTTCTCTTAAAATTCTTACATCTTGTTTGCAATAAAATGTGCTATACTTTTCTAAGTCGAAGTGGTTCTCATCTATTCTGCAACCTTTGATGGAATCTATGTTTTTCATGAATGTATCTGCATCCCGGATAAACTTACATGCTTCAGAAATGACACCAGTTCTGTTGTCATTTGCTAACAAAACTGCTGTAGTAGTTGTATGGAAATACTTCTTTCGGTCCTGTTTGTAAGTTAAACATAGCAGGAAATAGTTTAAGCTTCTTATTTATAACACTGTAAGAGTCTTTTATAATAATTGCCCTTCCTTTATATAAGCCAGTTATTTGCATTGTTCGTGAACCTTTAATGATGGGAGTTCCTTTCACTTCTGTCATGTGTCTTAAGATGAAGTTTATATCATAACTGAGGTTATGGAAATATATTAAACTCTTGTCAGGAAGTCGTTCCAAAAATTCTGTTGCACAGTTCTGACCCCAAATGCTTTCACTCACTGAACCATCTTCACTGTCATAACAGATGTTAAAAGCTTTATGAAAGCCGTCTGTGCTACACTCAAAGTCAGCAAAGAAAACGTGCTCAGGAATGAACTTGCACTTATTTTTATTTACTTCTTTTGACTCGGCTTTCTTCTTCAGTTGTACACAATACTTTGGAGCATATGAAATCTTTAAATGGTGCAAGGTTCTGTTTATATAAGTCAGTCGTATATGTGAAAAGTTCTCCATAAGAAATAGGTTCGAAATATTTGCACTCCCACAATGTTTTCATAACATCCCATAACGGTGTTGTTCTATCATAACGAACTACATATTTATCTTCTCTCTTTGTATAAATCTTCATCTGTTTCTCAATGTTCATTCCACCACACTCCTTCAAGATTTCTATATAGTTGCGAATGAAATATGTTGTCATTGGTAATCTTTCGTTTAGCATGTAGTGGTCTTCAACAAGAAGTAAGTCAATAGTTCGAACAGTTTCACATTCTTTTGGTATGTATCTCTTTATTTCATTATGTCTTGAGTCATTGAAATAACCAATGGTAACATTAAATGCTATACCTGTTGCGTCAGAAATTTCTTGTACTTTACTTTGAGGAAAGTCTCTAACACGAATGACTTCTCTCATGTGGTCAATAGTCTCTCCATCTACTCCAGCCTGAATGCAAGCATAAACGAAACAATTCTTCTGTCATAAGTGTGCAGTTCTTTTGTTCAGTTCATTGAAATTTGGTAGCGTTCAAGATTTATAGGTAATGTGCAAAGATACTTCCAGAACTGACCGCTTCTCTTCTTATAAAACTTCTTTTCACCATTATCTTTCCAAAAGCTTTCTATAAGTGCTGGGTTTCCTGTTTGCTTAAGAGCTTCCAAAATGGCTTTCTGGTCATTTGTCAGTGTGCTTTCATCTCTATATGGTCTCTTTTTTGGTTTGCCTTTCTTTACATCTGACATCGTTAAGCCTTCATATTCTGTTAAATCATACATCTTTATTTCAGTAAGATTCTTTATGTTTGTCAAGAAGAAGTCATAGTGCATTTCAACAATACCTGCAGCATTTGCTTCTATCTCTGATATAAAGTTCTCCTTCAAGAGCTGATGTAGTAATGTTCCAATATTATTGAGGTTTAACGTAGAACATTCATACTTTCCACCAAGTTTATAACATACCATCCATCTCTGTTGTTGAGTTTATTTTAATTTTCTCTAAGAGTCTCATGAAAACCTTACCGAAATGTTTGTGTAAGTAGTCTCTGTTTGGTTCATCTAAAGCTTCGATGTTAAAGTCAATGAGTCTATTGCCTGACTTCACATTTCTCTTCCTATTCTCTTCATCTTTCTTTAACCATCTCTCACCTTCTTTTGGTTTGTCGTCAATGGAACGAATGACATCGTTAGCTTTGCGAACTTGTTCTATAGCGCTCTTAAACATCTCTCTTCTCTGTTGTTTCAGTGTGTCGTCTCTTCTTCTTGTTTCACCAACGTTTGCATTTGTTATGTCAAACATTTCTCTTCTTACTTCATGAGGTACTGAACGTCTATGATATAAGTCAATAGCAACGTCATTTAAAGGAAATGCTCTTGCATGGACTTCGTCCTCGCCGCGTTGCGGCTTTATGAACTCATGAATTCTATCATAACTTATTGCACCATTATAGTCTTTAATGAAGTCAGCGAGTGCTTTTTTGTTTGTTGCGTAATGTTTTGCTACTTCTATGTTAGCTTCTGTAAGAAGTTGTTTTATTTCCGAGTGTTCTAACTTAGACAACTTCCGATACATCTTTAGTAGGAAATAAAAAAATATTTTTTGAAAAAATTAGATTAGATTTTTTTAAGTTATTTTTCAAAATAATTTAATATTTTTATTTTAATGAAACACATGCAAGATTGCAAGTTCTTTTCATACAATGCTCTCGCTACTGCCATCAAGAATGAGTTCAATAATGCTTCAAATGTTAATGTTATCTTTAACAAGAAGTTTGTGAAAGAATCTAAGTTTGGTCAGTATGTCAGACCATTAGCTATCGTCATTGACCGCAAACGTTATACTTCACAAGAGTTAGCAGTAGTTTTGAAACAAAAGAGTTTCTTCGTGAATGTCAAAGATACTCATTATACTGTCATAAAGAACTCTAACATTGACTTCTTCAGTATTGCTTTAAATCTTTCCGAACAGAAAGAATATAAGAAGGGTGAAACATCTGTGAAATATTATCCTTCATCTCTGAAGACAATAACGAACAAAGATGTTATACAGAAATTCTTACCAAAGGTTGAAGAAGCTTCTATTGACATTGACGAAGGAAGTGAAATGGTTGAAGAAATAGACCCTGAAGCTATTTAAGCAAAAATATATTTTTGGTTAGTCTTCATATCGATATTTTACAACAATTCCCCAATGTATAAACTTTTCATACGCTTTTTCATAAGCTTTATATTCTTCAGAAATTTTGCATAATCTTTAGAAGCATTTAGATATTGTTTAAATGCTTTGTATGTCTTCAGAAATTTTGCATAATCTTTTACATGTTGTTCGTTCTCTTCTTCTGTCATGAGTTCCGAATATTCTAAATTCATGTTCTTTCATATGAGATAAAATTTTATAAAAAAATAAAATTAGCTTAGATTTTTTTTATTCTTCCTCTTTGAAGTTATCGAAATATTCTGTTATTTTTTCCTTCAGTAATGTTAAGTCTTCTTTGAATGTAAGTATTGTGCAACCTTTGATGTCATAGTGTGTTTGAGGAAGAGTATTTTTGACAATTTCCTTTATTTGCTCATTCGGTGTCATTGAAATCGGTAAGTTTTCACAATAGAACCAGTTTCTGTCAGATTTATATATTTTAGCTAAGTCGTAAAAGCTTTTGTTGTTTCTTCTGACTAAATGCAACATAACCACATCTTTATCTTCTTCTTTCTCCAACTCTTCAGTATATATCATATACTTATAGTTCTTTTCCTTTCCTTTTGGTACCGAACGTGGTATTATTTTCTGAATGCTTTTGTCTTTTGCTTCAATGACTTCATCTTTTGCATGAAGTTTCTTTTCCATCTCTTCACGTTCTGCTTTATATAGTTCATCTAACATCATGAAAATATAACAAGCATAACGAGGTGAAGCCCACATTGCTACAGCATTTACTAAAAGTCTATGAACATAATATCCTTTCAAACCAGGAGCCAAATTCTTGCGATTTTCGTACGGAATCTCTTCTCTTGGTTTTCCGAGGGAAGCAATCATATGAGGAAATTCTTCTAAAAGTTCTTTTGTCTGTTGGTTTTCAAACCAATGATATGCTTGCTTTGTAGAACGAAGAGCGTTCATTATACTTTGCATTTGGTACATATCGTCTTTGACCGAACGAATGAGACGTAACTGTTTGTTATACTGTATGTACTCGTATTCTTCATTTATAGCTTCATGGACTATAACTGTTGTTGTGTTCTCTTTTGTTGACATATCTGTCTTTACATACAAAATAAAAAAATAAATAAAAATAAAACTAACTTTATTTTCTGACTTTCACAAAAGACCAAAAATAAACGCTTTACATGTATTTTTCAGCAACTTCGTCAAATAATTTTATAGCTTTATCTATCTCATCTACTTCAAACGTTTCTTTACCTTTCGTGGGAGCACCATACATTTTCTCAAAAACTTCAAGCAGTTCTGTTTCAGCAGCTCTCATATCATTAACAAACACAACCTTGACTCTATTGACTGTACTGTCATATCTTTGAGTTATATTATATGTCCTTCCTATCTTATATCTTTTTGTGTTGAAGTCCTTCGGTTTCTGAACGATGTAAAGTAAGCCTTCACTGCAACGTTCCGTATCGAATGAACCATATGTTATGAAGTTATATCCAACAACTGGGTCTAACCATAACAAAACTATTGGTATAAGACTTTTGTCAATGAGATATGCTCTTGTTCCATGAAATGCTACTGATATCATAAGCTCAGGATTTCTTGTCAAAATTTTCTGAGTTGAAGCATTTCTAACCCAGTCGTTTGTTTTCTTTCCAGATGGAGATATAATGTCTGACAAAGAATATTTGTTGTATTTCTTTGAGTATCTTACGTTTAAATCACCTATTCTAACCACTTTGGTGTCATTGTCTATCTTTCTAACTGTTTCAAACTCAATGTTTGTCATTACTGTCTTTACATACAAAATAACTAATGAAATTCATTATTTTTGTGCTGAATTCAATAAAAATAATGTTGAGGTGAAGAGGTGAGATCTCACCTGTTTTTTCACCTCTTTTTTCACAAGCGTTTTACATGAATTGTACGATGTATATTTGAAATCCTAAACAATTTCGTAGCTTCTATTTCTTCTTTTAGTACATCGAATGTTTTAACAATGCCGAAGGTTTCTTTATATTTCTTCTTGACGTCAGACAGAAGGAAATCTTCTGCTGTTGGATAGTTTTTATTAAGAAATGTCAACATATCCATTTTATCTTCTGCTGGCTTTTCTGCTTCTTTCTTTAAGTCTGCATAGTCGTTTCGCATTCTTTCTATCTCTTTGACTGAGTAGTTATATTTTCTTATTGCTGCTTTACATTTTGAACATTGTGGCATCGTTTTTGCGTTATACATTGAAATAAAACCAGCTAGAACAACTAAGGCGTCAATGGTTTTCTTTAGCTCAAAAGCTGCTGGTTTTATCTGTTCATTCCATACCTTACCTCTTCTATCTTTATCTCTTATCTGCCATACACATTTTGCAACTAATGAAACAAAGTTATCGTATGTCTTAAATTCTTCGGATTTGTAAAGGTCAGAAATATTTTTATAAACCATGTCGCAATCTTTGTCCATAACTTTATGGTTGCAATGAAAACCAAGGAATTCATAATTTACTTTACGTATGAATTTCTTAATTTCTACTGAGTCAGTTGCTTTGACTTCAATTTCGTCGAATTCAGGAATAGTTAGTTTTTGCTGCTGAATTTCAGGTAGTTTAGGCAAATGGTCGATGAGGTCCTCCATTTCATAAAGATACTGTTCATTTGTTTCATCTTTCGCACTACAGTCTAAATTACGTGTTAAAAGTTCTTGCTTTATCTTCTGGATTTCTGTTTCAAAAGTATATGAAGAAGGAATAAAGCTTTTCATCTCTACTAACATTGACGTAGGATTCATGACTAGCGAGTTTGGTGCTGTAGTTGTGGACAGAGTCCCGCCGTTCGTGGCTTGAATTGTTGTTGTGCCGATTGTTGAAATCATATCTTTTATACAAAATAAAAAAATAAATAAAAATAAAACTAACTTTATTTTTCTATCTTAAGGAAATTCATGAAAATTCACGAGAAAGCTAAAGCAATCTGAGCCGCTAAGCGGCGAGGGTGAAAAAAGAGGTGAAAAAACGGGTGAGATCTCACCTCTTCACCTAAACATTATTTTTGGTGTAAATTTATGAAAACATTAATAATACATGACTGTTCTCATTCATGTCTGATTTAAATCTAATGAAAAAGTTTAGAAGAATTTTCTTATTCTTTCTGGCTTATTTTTGTCTTTCCAGTACTCCCGCTCTAATGGTCCCAGATGTGTTGACTTTGACTCTCTCAAGTTCTTAGATGGTATAACATCTTCAACGCCTCCTTCATATCTTACTTTATAAGTGTCATCGTTTATGTTATAGCCAGGTATTTCAATAACCACTCCTCGCTTTGCTTCGTCAATGGTTTCAGCAAGTTTGCCATTACTACTTTCGACTAATTTATGTCGAGGATAAAACGCAATAGAGTCGTCGGCAGCTTTTATAAGATATCCATTACCTTGCGTAGAGTCTACGATATAATAGTTTCTACTTAACCTTAAAACGTTTCTTTGTCAACGGTTTGTCGTCAAGAACTACACGAACTTTTGTACCAGGAATGAGGGTAAATTGTGTTGAATTTCTGATATTTTGTGTTTGACTTCGTTTTCTTTTGTATATATACTTTTCTTCTTGTTTTTGTGTCATTGAATTTGGTGTATGTCCTGTTGTAGAATGTGTTGAGGAATTAATATACTTCGAGAAAATGTTTCATTGTTTCTCTCGGTAAAGTCTCGCTCTTGATTTAAATCTCTGAGCGTTCTTATGAAGCGGTTTATGATGCCGAGTATGTTATGGTTATGGTCTTCAGTAGTGTAGTGAGTTATGTTATGCTTAATGAGAAAATCTGTGATTTCATTGCTGAGGTATGCACTGTCTTGGTCTGATGTTAAAGTACTTGGGCTATGTTCTGCTACAAACTTTTGTAAAACTCTTAACACTTCACGAGTTCCTTTATTTTTTCATTGGATATGCATATGCTTTGCGAGTGTTAACATTAATGAAGATGAGGAATGGTTTATGTCCTCCTTTTCTGCTTTGAATGAGAGTGTCAAATTGGTATGCGTCAGGAGCGTTGGAGTAAATTGGTAAAAAGTAGTCGTAAGGGTTTATTTTTGTTTGATGTACAACATTTTTGTCAAAGAACCTTTTCACTTCAGCTCTGTTAGTAAATCCCCAACTCTTTGCAGCTTCATTGAACTTCTTAAATGACCTCCATGGATGTTGTTCGAATACTTCTTTCAAGCTCATTTATGTAAAGTTAAAGATTTTATTCAAGGCTCAAGCGCGTTCATTGAACGCGGTACCATGCAAATACAGTCACAAATGGTGGCATATAATCTGCACCCGAGCCTGTTGGATTTGTTGTGAAAGTATGGACATGATTTCCTCCCGGTTCAGTTGGTCGAAAAATCTTTTTTGCTGCATTGTTATAAGATGGAGATAAAACGTCATGGCCAGCTTCATACTCTGAGTTGTATAATGGGTGGTCTCTTAATGAGTGGCTATGGTCGCCAGAAAAGTTTGTCGTTCCTGTATGAGTGTGCGGTGGAAGGTTTGCTTCTTTAATTTTCTTCGAACCTCCTGTTTGCTTTGAAGAGTTAGCACAGTATAAGAATTTATCTACAATCTGTTCCCACGTACCAAAACCTAAAACTGTTTCTGGATTTGTTGAGTTCATTGACGTATAAATAGAGCCTATAGGATATATGGTTTCAAGAACCTGAGTCTTCATTGTTTGAAGTTCATGTTTAACATTTATAAATCCATTGCCATCTACAATATTTATATTGTTTGTTATTAAACCATTAGGAAAAGTAGGAGGATAAATATTTTGTTCAACTAAAGGTGTACCGTCTCTTCCTGTTTTTGTTACTTCTTCAATGTATGCATTAATTTCTTTAATCTTGATTGTTTGAAATTCTTCATATGTATGGTTCTTGTCGGCTTTACTGTCTAACATTGATGGTAGTTTGTATGCTTCAAAGTTTCTGGCATATTGATCAATGTTCCTGCAATAGTTATCTAAATTGTTAAGAGTATCTTTTACGCTTGTACTCGGATTCTCTAAAGGTGCACTTGAACCCAAATCATAGTTCAATATTATGTCGTCTGCTCTAACAGTAGTGAAGGATTTATGTGTATGTTCTTTGTCAGCTTTCTTATCTAACATTGCTGGTAGTTCGTATGTTTCAAAGTTTCTGGCATGACCTTCAATGTTCATACATTTACTATTTAAGGAGTTTAGTGTATCTTTTACGCTTGTACTTGGATTCTCTAAAGGTGCACTTGAACCGAGGGTATAGTTCAATATTATGTCGTCTGCTCTAACAGTAGTGAAGGAGTTATGTGTATGTTCTTTATCTGCTTTTTTATCGAACATTGCTGGTAGTTCATGTGTTTCAAAGTTTCTGACATGACCTTCAATGTTCATACATTTACTATTTAAGGAGTTTAGTGTATCTTTTACGCTTGTACTTGGATTCTCTAAAGGTGCACTTGAACCAAGGGTATAGTTCAATATTATGTCGTCTGCTCTAACAGTAGTGAAGGATTCATGTGTATGGTTCTTGTCGGCTTTACTGTCTAATGTAGCTTGAAGTTCATTTATATCGGAGATATTGTGTTTATGAGATTTCAAAACTTTGTTCGTTGCGTCAAGTTCAACTTTGTCAGCTTTACTTTTAATAGCATCTTCAAAAGTTATTTTTGCCTTAACTCTCAATGTAAATCTTGGTTCAACTAATACACCGTTAACAAAGAAGTATGAAGCATAAATTTCATTGTTATAACCAAATGTTTCTTGTGCTTTACCTGTGTCATACTGTACAGTACAGTGTATGTCATAACCTTTAGCACGAATGAATTTATATCTTCTTTCATTAACATTTTTTGTCTTCGCTTCATCACTTCGTGTTAAATATCCATGGTAGTCCGTTATAATCTGTTCGTCTGAACTTATATAATGAACATGGTTTTTATCTGCTTTTTGTGAAAGAAGTTCAACAACTTTTGCTTCACTTATGTTACCAGTGTCACTTTCATTTATTTTTGTCAGCATTGCGTTCAAAACTTCATAAAGACTAACTACTTCTTTTGGTTCTTGAAACAATGAGTCAAAAGTCTTTCTTAACATTACATCTTCAACTGTTATGACTGAGTCAATACCTTTCTCTTTTATTGTCTTAGCTAACTGACCTAAAACAACGAACATATAGTCTAAAATATTATCTTCAGTGTTAAACACTATACAGTTTTCACGAATTGTTGTGTTTGTTGCTGTTAAAACTTCTTTAAACTCAGGATATATATTCAGTAGATTTTCAACAATTGTTTGAACCACTTGTCCTCCTTCATCTAAATCTCTTGCTGCCATTAAAGGATGTAAATTAATTGGTTCAATAATTCCGAGACGAGGGTTGTAAGCAAGTCCGTCGAACATATTTTTACGTTTGAGTGCCCAGTTAGTTAGTTTCTTTGTATTATATGTTACTTTACCCCATAAATTTTTGAGACCGTCAAAGAAACTTCCTGTATTTCCATGTAATTTAGCAAACTCAACATAAAACTTCATGCTATCTATGCCACCAAGAAAAGCCCAGAGTGCATCTATCTCACTTTGCATGGTTATAAGAGATGCAGTTGTTACACCTGATGAAAATAAAGTAAACAACCACCCTAACCAACTCTTACCTGCTCCACTTTGTTCTACTTTCACAAAATCACTGATATGACTTTTTAAGTATTCTTTCGTAAGTAATGTGTCTCCAGGTGTAACGTCTCTAACGATATTATCTCCGTCAAAAGTCAATGTTCTAACTTGTGTCCGTGCAGCCTTTATTTTAAGGCATGCATAGTCTGGTGTTTGAGGAGCAGAAGGCTCGATGTATGTAATTTTAAAGAAATCGTCATAATTTTTCTTAAAGGTTTCATATGTTGTTTTGAATGTATTGAACCTCATTATTATATCAAGAAGTTTTGTCAATGAGTCAGCAATTGCTTCATCTACTGTTGACGTTTTGAGTTTTATTTCTGCTGAGTCGTTTATGAATGGTACTTGACATTGAGTTGTATATGGGTCAAATCCTGTAGGACCCAAATGAAGCAAGTAGTCTAAAATATCACGAACAGACTTTGAGACAGTTGTGTCGTTCTTCATGACGATTTCACCATTTACAATGAATGGCATAGTACATGAAGTTATTTGTGGGTCAAAACCAGAAGGATTGAAATGAAGCATATAGTTCAGCGCCTCATACACTGACTTATACACTGTTTCATTATTTTTTGACACAATTTCACCATTTACAATGAATGGCATTGTCGAAGGAGTTGTTTTTGTATCGAACCCTGAAGGATTGAAGTTAAGAATGCTTTCAAGAGCTTCATATACAGACCTATAAACAGTTGTGTCGTTCTTCATGACAACTTCACCATTTACAATGAATGGCATAGTACATGGAGTTAAAATAGGGTCAAACTTTTCATAGTCCTTCCATGTTATATTTCTCAGTATTTCCATCAGAAATAACAATATATTTGTCAGTAAGTGTGAGAGAGTATTGACCAAAATATAAACGTTTAGCTCTGTCAGCTTCATACGCATATGCAGCTATACTCATATTTTAATGAGAATAAAATGTTGTTCTATTTGCAAAGTACAGACCCAAACGAATACGGGACAGTAAAGCTACAAACAAACTTAGGTCTTCAGAATGAAGCACTTGCTTTCAGAGTTGTTGACTTCAATACTATCGCAACTTTTGTCATAACTGACGAAACAGATTTCATGGAGTTTGAAATAGATGGAAAGAAGCACGAAATAAGATTTCACAATAATGTAGAATATAAGATGGAAACATTAGCTGGAGTGTTAAATGCTCTCATAAATACTACAATAAACAAGGATAACGAAGAAAACTTAATGAATGTTAAACTTATTGCAGGAGTTTTGAAGTTCAGTTATGCGAAGGAGTTTAAGATACAAGAATGAGTCATAGAGTACAATTCTTTGGGTGCATACCATATGACATTTCCTTTGAAAAGTGTTGACAAAACGATTGAGATGAAATCTGTTCCATACGTATGTTATGGTAATTGTTTATACATTGAGTCAAAAATAGCTAATGTCACAGGTATTTCAGGAGTTAATAGTAAAGGTTCAGTAGAATATAAATCTTCTGTTATGCAGTCAATTCAATGTTCATTCCAAACGTTCCTGTCATAGCAACTCATTTAGGTAAATGGGTTCGCATTAGTCCTCATAATTTGAAAGACATGCAATTCAGACTTGTTGACTTTCAAGGAGAGCCTGTAGAACTGAAGGCACCAGTGCGAATGACTGTTGAAGTTGACTTTTTAGAAAATATTAAATGCAACAGCTTACAAGAGAACTCAGAGCTAAAAATATAAAGTATGAATGTTATGTATTAGGTCATGAACTTTGGTTGTTGCTGTTTGATGAAACAAATGAGTTAGTTATGTCAGTCAAGAGAACAGAAAAATATTGTGTTAGTGAAAACTGCACCAAGTCAATAAGATTAGGTTTGCATTATGAAGATGAGTTCGATACTGTTGAAGAAGTTTTGGATAGATATTACAAATTGCTTTAATTTACTAAAACATATTTCAAGCAAAGTTTATATTCTGTTGAAAGTTTTGTATACTCGTTCGAATATTTATACTTAAACTCAACTCCTGTAGTTCCTGGTGTTTCAATGATGCGGATGTTACCTATTTTCATGAATGGTGGCGTTTGACCACAGCATTCGATTTCAGGGTCGAGATAGTCAATGACACATTGTTTCCCTGTTATTCGTGAGATAACATTTTCAAGGTCCTCCTTTGTTAGAATTATTTGGTTCTTGCTTATAAGATTTACCAAAAGCTTCTTATCGTCTTTGAGTAAAATTGTTTGGTATAACTGAAGAAGGTAATGGTCTACGTTATCTGAAGGATTTGTTTGAACATTTGTGTAAGGGTTGTCGTTGGCTTCTCTTGAAAGAATTTGGTCCAGTGGTGGATACTCTAACTTAACATCTGATGTAGCGTTAGCGTTTGAAGCTGAGTTTAAATTCACGGATTTCAGCTCTGGTTCTTTTTCTTTCAAACACTCTGAACTATAGTTCTTTATGACAATATTGTTTGTCGTTCGTGAGTCAACATTTGATGTTGGTTCAATTGGAACATTAACGGCACCAGCTAAGATGGATTTGCTTCTCATTTCATATAGAATAAAAACCTTTTATATGTATGAAATGAACAATATACTCGACAAGGGTTTGAATGTAAAGCTAACGAATGAAAATATTGTTGAATTCACTGAGACAGGAGCTGTGTATAAAGATGTAGAACTACTGAACAAAAGAGCTAAGGGAAGAAGCAGGAACATGAACAAAGGGTGGAAGCCTATAAAAATTTATGTCAATGATGGCTCAGGAGGTTCAAACATAAAGTATGCAGAAAGTTATAGAGTTTATGCTCTCAAAGGTGAAAAGCCTTCATTTAAGAACAGCTATTCTAACGCATATCCTCAAAAGCTAACGGATGGGGAAGTGGATGATATGAATGACAGCAAAAATATTAACAGAAATGGCGACAGAGATGCATGGAATTTGTTTACCATCAGTCAATTGAAGGTTAAACTTTAAAACAATGTTGGTCGTTCCCATGGAATATTTTTGACTTTAATGGTATTAGTCATGATATGAATCTCAAGGTATGAACGAGGAGAGATGAGAGACTTATATGCTTCCCAAATTTCTTCAAAAGGTAATGCTATACCTGACTGTTTCCAAATGAGTTCAATATCATAACGTGAGAAACCTTGAAAGATAACGAAGTCAGTTATGAGACGTTTTATGTTTAAAGCTAAAAACCTCCATGTTTGCATAAGTATTGCTACAGTTAAATGGTAATGTCTGACTTTAGTAATGATGTTAGCTAATGGTGAGTCTGGTTTTGACACTAAACCTTTTCCGGCGAAGTCGTCACAAACGAGCAGAGTGTTTGAAGGATATTTTTTGAAGGGGTATTTTGAAAGTTTTGATAGAATGTAGTTTGTCAGTCGTTTCATATCGTAAACTCCTGAGTATTGACGTAAGTGGTGTTTGTCAATAATTCTTTCCATCTCTTCTGAAGTCTTTTGCATTCCTGACTGTATAAATTCAACGATGGTATAATATTTCCTCTTACGTCGAATGTAACGTTGAAGAAATTCAATGAGTTCACTGTCTGGAACTTTAACAACAGAGGCTTGAACTTTTGACATAAATGTTTTCGCTGTTGAGTCCATAGAGTCTGAAGTTGCTGATATAATGATTTGGTCATAATATGAGTCATTTCCTAAACGTTCTGTTATGAGTATATGACGAATGAGGTTAAATGTCTTACCTGAACCCATCTTTCCACAATAGAAATAAACACCATTTGAACAGAACTCATAGTCCTTACTGAAAGGAAGAATGAGAGAAGAGTTAAGTTTGTCTGTAGTTTCATTCATGTCTTCATCTACGTCATGTATTAAATGCTTCATTTTATCTCCATTAAAAATGCAAGTCAGAAATATTCAGAACATAGCACCGAGTCTAACTGACAAGAGTATAAAGATATACTATGAACACGTTATGATGAAACCTACCAAAATTCAAGAAAGTCAGTATACTTATGAATATCCAAGACACTGGGTAGAGTATGTAGGAGGTGAGAAAGCTATTGAAATCAGACAGGTTCGAAGTATTCCAGCAGGAAGAACAATATTATTGAAGAACTTTAATGTTTTGAGATATAATGATGAAACAAAGAAGCAAGATAGTTTCCCTGTTGCTGTGTATGTGAACTTAGATACAGGAGATGACATGAAAGTTTTTAATACAAAGCTTCAAACGGTAGTGAGAGAACAACTGACTGCGGAAGGACATCCATTACCTTCAGAAGTTACCATAGCATATAATTTTGAAACAAACTCAATAGATTTTAAAGTCGTCTCTGCAAAGAAGTCAGGTTTTACATTTAATGAAGCAGATGTATATTCGAATGAAAACTTCAAAGCTATTGCATGGTTAGATAATGACGATTGCTTTAAGAAAATATTTAAATTCAGTGACTCAACGATGTCAATAGATGACCTTCGTGGAATGTTACCATCGACGTTTACAGTAGAAGGTTCAGCAGGATTGCTTACAAGATTGTCAATTGGTGGTATTTGGTCTCGTGAGAACATTGTTATAAAATCCAGTATAAGTGAATTTGCTGAAGAATCTATATTATGTCTTTCAAACTACATGTATTCGCCGCCGAAGCATTATAGTATAACAAACTTTGTCAGTAAGTTTAACATAAGACTTGTCGAACCTTCTTCAATGAAAGATGTTGTGCTACCCAAAGATGGAAAGGATGGACTCATTATTGAATGATTTTAATTGCATATTAAATGAGCTTGTTCTTGAAGGTCATTCATGATGAAATAACTGTTGTAGAAGATGTTAGCAATTGTTCAGACATTTTGAAGCGTATAGATGATATAAGAAAGAAGTTAGATAGACCGCAAAGCGGTGAGGGCGAAGCCCGTGAGAACGCTTATGTTTCATTGACTTTCTCCAGTAACGAGAACTTTTATGAGATAAT